GTAATGATGATGTTTCTTGCTCTCGATCACCATGTATAATAACTAGAAATACCATTCCTGAAACTATTACGAGGACTACATTACAAAGAACTGTACCAGTCCAAAACAAACTCACAGACAATACCTGTACATACAAGTAACAACATTTTCTTATGTTGCTGGGTGAATAGTTTACAGAATCAGCATTGCAACTCTTTTTAAAGAAAATGAAATACGATCAATAACTTGCCAACTCACCATAAGAAGCCACCAGGGCACACCATCTTCAAAACTTGAAGCCACAACACCAGCAACCCCAAAGGACCCTAATGTTAATCAAAAGAGCATGACAAGCATAAATATGCATGCTGCTCTTATGATCTCAGGAATATCCCATACCATCTTCACTGCTTTTTCTAGCACCAGCGTGGTGAACAGAAGTCTATAGAATAAGAAAAGGTCAAATAACCAATGCACAAAATATATGTGTGTGTGTGCATGGAGGAAGAAAGAAAGAGAGGAAGACAGAGTAGCATGATGTCATGAGAAAAAATATCCAATAAAGAATATACAGAAGCATGTCATAGGAATTACATGGGGAAACGTGACTGTAATAGAAAATCAAAATCTAGAATGAGTAAGTAACCAAAATATATCTTGAAAGTTGGATATTTTTTTCCCAATATATCCTTAACATATATTTATGATCTCCACACTCCATTCCCATGTGAAAACAACTATTTTCCCAAAATTATCAATTTCTTCTACAATCTTAAGGGGCTGGAAATTTTTAAATCTCTTGCATCCGTCGTATCCCCTTTCATTCTATAGCCAATCAAAATGCAATTCTAATTGAAATTTTCCTAGTCAAATAACGAAGTAGAGAAAACCTGGGATGCAAGCATAAAATATAGTCCAACAATCTGTGCAGAAATCTATATGTAAGGCATTTATTTAAGCATGTATAGTACTACAACTTAATTGAACTACAGAGTGTTGCTCCACATGAAGACCTCAATTCAAACATTCTAAAATGTGGCACAACGATAACCCTAAAACTCAACTCAAAACATGCACCAAAATGTCAAAACGCGGAGAGGTCACTGTGGTTTACCTGTCAATGACTGATATGACATACAAGAACTGAAATGCAGCAGCAATGCCAAATGCAGCACCCCAGAATAACTGTTCACCCCCAAAACATAGCACGCCTTATTACAGCAAGATATGTAGCCAACAGGTGCATCGAGAATTCCATCGCTTGATTTGCATGTGAACCAAACCATAATAACCAAGTCCACCCTAGAAGAGTCCCAACTCTGCCAGCGACAGCATACAAAGGCCAAAAATCTTCAGTTAGACCCACTTTGTACATGCCAATATTTAGCCTAACTTTCCTAAACCTTTTGAGTCCAAAATACCCAAGAGTAAAACCTATCAAAATCAAATGTGCCAGAAATATCAACATCCATACCACGTCATGCCAGTTACGTGAACCCATTGTTGTTAGTGCCTGAGTGAATGGGCGACTACCATCTGTACTTCCATGGCTCTCTACAACGTTCTGCAATCAATTCACAGCATAATAAATGTGAAAAGCAAAAGTTTTGCTCATCTAATTCAACATAATCATCTACTATTCGTTTATGCATGTTAAAAGTTCAAGCAATCACAGATTCTACCTTATAAATTTACTAAATTTCAAATTAAACCTCAATATTTGACTTTTAATGTTGCATCTTAACTTGGCAGAATTGTAGAACCACATAAGTCTCAGACCTTTTTTGCTATAAACTGCAACTCCCAAAAAATGAACTTCGTAAGCATTTCTCGAAGTCTCCTCAATCCTTCCTCCCTTAGGCACAAAAAAGTAATACTGGGATCCAATTGAAGAGATGCAAGCAATTGCATCTAAATTCTTTTCAAAAAAAAAAATATTTAAGTTCCTAGTTTTGCATATTTATTTATTTATGCCAAAAAAGAGTGTTGACACACAAAAAGTTCAGTCCAAGTCGAATAGCCCAAGGAATGAAGCCCAATTGGAAGATCTCCAAAATCAAATAACCCAAAGAACGACCTAATCAGGCAATGCAGGATAAAGGCCCAAATAGGGAAGCCCATGAACGCGGTAACACCATCGTCCAAGGTTGCAAGTCGCCCAAGATTTGAGCGAATGAATTGCCATGCAGTCGCCTAGAGCTGTGACTCTGCTCTCGCCCAAACATTCGAGTCGTCCAGCATCTTAACAAACATTCTTTATGGTTACCTAAAAGTGCAGTTAAAGAAGCAATTATTGGATAGTCCTATCACGTTCCACGATTCAAGGAATTCAATTGAAGATGGTTGAACGACAAAAAGTAATGGCAGTAGTTAGAGAAGGCAGTTCCATAACAAGTTGGCCACTACAAAGAAAGTGGTCAGTTATAGAGCGATCAAACAGTTTTTAAACAGTTGATTACGAAAAAATCATTCAGGGAGTATAAAAGGAAGAAAAGACATAGAGCAAAGGACCCCGAATCAAACACTCTCAAATAGAGAATATGTAACTTTAAATTTTTTAGTTTAGATTCAAACACTTCTTTTTCAGTAACTAGTGTGCTGAGAATATATAACTTTAAATTTCTTAGTTTAGATTCAAACACTTCTTTTTCAGTAACTCGTGTGCTTGCGCCTCTTGGAGGCATTCTGTTTTTATTTTCCAATTGTAAAGTCATCACCAATAAAAACATCCCTTTTTGGAACTTTATCTCAAGAGGTTCGTCCCTTACACAATCGTCTGATCCCTTTTTAATTGTTAGCGACTAACCTGCACGAAACACAAGGAAACAGAATAGGTAATTTTGGACAAAAATTTGTAAACATACTTCTTTGTAATTTAGGAAATAAAAACAGTTTTTGAAAGAAAAATAAACAATTTAAGTAAAAGAAATATCTGAAAGTTATTTTCCATTGATTTTTCTCAAATAATTGAAGCCTACATATGCATGCATTAGCGCGCGCGGGGGCAAAATGAAGGATAAAAAAAACTTGAATTCCTTAAAATAAATTCGAAAATTTTCCACAAAAATATCTTTCAGCCAACTTTGATGCCGAATTATATGAAACGTATAAAAGTTTGAAAGCCAATCTTCCCCCCTTTTTATCTAATCTACTAGGTATATATTATAGCTCAATCTTGAGAGTATTTACCCCCCTTTTTCCCTCAAGAATCTTACCCTCTATCGACAAACCAAAATCCTAAATCAAAGGGATAAAGTCGCGGATCAGTCACATGCTAACTGTAGAAAATTCCAAAATCAATACAGAGAGAGAGAGAGAGAGAGAGAGAGAGAGATTCATACATGCTACTATCAAGTATGCATTACTAGTGGTGTAGGTCCCATGGAAGCAGAATCATAGGAAGAGGAAGAAGAATACTGAGAGTTGCTCATTGGAGAAGACCTCAAATTGGCATGGATTCCAATCAAATTTTTTATGGAAAAAGAAGATGTTTGTTGGGGTTTCGAATTGACTGTATCAATTACTACTAGTATAATTACTCGTCTTCGATGGAGAGAATGATTGTGTGACAGAGTAGAAGAGGAAATGAACTGTAACGGCTATCTTATGAGAATCATGCTCGGTGTCGACGTAAATTTACACTTTTGTTTAGGTCACACCACGTGTCATTATCTAGTTTGACAGGTAAAAATTTTTTTTTTTTCATCCACTTATATAATGACAATACCCCATTTGTTTCCCATTAATGTAAGAATGAGAATGAAAAATATAGTCATTACGGACCCCAAATAAGAGATATAAATTCAAATATGGTGACTTGATTTGATGGATATATCAGTCGTCAAAATGAGTATACACAATTGAAGTACAAGTAGCATAACCCGTCATCTGAAATTTAGAGACGGATAATATAAAGATAAGAGAAATCTTATTTGTAAACAAGTGATTGGCAATCCAGATATTTTAATTTCTCTAGCCCTTTCAACACATTTGTACAATTTTGCCATCAATTGGCAATTTAGATATTTAATTTTATTCCGTCTTTGTTAATATGGAAGATCATGTTCGAATAAGAGATAATATGAGATTGGTTAATATTTGAAATTTGTTAATATATTTTAACTTCATTATGAGATTATCTTTGTCTAGCGGAAAAAAGTAAGTTTGGATAAGAGATAAACCAACATCTAAATTTTGCATTTATTTATGTATTTGGCTACATGTACATTAAGATTTACGTAAGGGATTACATAGTATCACATGACATTCTACCATTTAACAGTTTAAAACACAATCATCTTTTTCCTCCACATCAATTTCGATAACAGTTTATGTACCATTTTGATGTACAAATAACAAAATCCTTTACATATTATGTTCATAGGACATTCTTTTTAATCAAGAGTGCATATAATATTCGAATAAGAAACTAACTGAATCTGAAATTTGCTTTTATGTTTAATTTTGTTACGAGGTTAGTTTTGTCGAGAGAGAATGTTGCATTCCAATTGAAAATTTGCTTTTGTTTCTTCTATTATGATCAAAGATT